ATGATATCTGTTTAATTCACCATATCTAAAAATTCTTCATACCATGATGTTCTCAAACCGCTCCTTAATTAAAAGCCTAACAAGCAAAGATTTTGAAACTTTGGCAGGCCATGAGGTAGCTTTGTCACTCAAAGGGCCATCTGTGCAGACATCTGCAGGTCCTTTCTCATTTGTATCAGATGAAGACTTTCTACTCCTTTGATTTCAGCAGCCCCCGTTATCACAAACAGAGAGACAGAAAAGGTTTCCAAGACAATTCTAAACACAAGATTTTCAGGGCCAAACAAACTTTACATGGTTGAGTCATGACTGAATCTTCCAGTTGTGTTTTAAAATTTAAAAGAAGCCATTTCGGGTAGGAGGGAGAGGCACTGGCAGCCCCGCTTGTAAAAAGCTTATTTTCCTGAAAGAAATCCCCTGTTCTCAATCTGCCTTTATGGGGAAAAAAGACAGACACATTTCAGACACCCATCTCCTTTTCTCCAGTGGAGATAATGTCAGTTTGGACAGGGACATTTGTATGAGAAAAACAGCACAAGGGAAAGTATTACACAATTCTCCCAGTGCCAGGGTCCTAGGATCTCTAGGTTATACCATTGTTTCTCTTCAAACAGGTTTATAACCTATAGAAATTGTTTGATGTGAGACAGGAAAAAAAGATAAGTATACGCTATCTGCAGAATGAGGGCTTTATCATACAATGAAAACAAACTGTTCTCTGTTTCTACCCTCAGGGAAACACCCAGATGTAACTGGCAATTTTAACCTTAACAGCAAACAGCAGCCATGTGTGCTTAGTCTTCAGCTGAAGTCTTGTATTTGGTGAAGATGATAAAAGGTCTGAATGACTGTGGTGAAAATGCATTCCAGAGGAATTGTATCTTTTCCTTCAAAGGTTTTTTTCCCCCTTCAAACATAGCCAAAGGGTGACATTTGCTTGCAAAAACATTTTGTATGAAGCCCTCATATGAATGTTTCAATGGCACCAGTTTTAATCTTCTATTCTTTAGCTTAAGCCTTCTTTCTGTTTACTAAAATATTAGCTTTCCTTCAATTTCATATATAGCGGATTTCCCCCCTGCAATCCACACCAAGCTGTCTAACAATGCCATCCTAAGCAGAGTTATACACTTTTAAGTCCACTGAAGTAACTACTTCAGTAAGTATACTTAAGTAGTGATGTTTTAATTCTGTTCCTTTCCTTTTCAGTGTAATGTGTAATGCCTGTCTACATTTTTCCTTTTTGGTATACAGAGATTAAAGAAGTATACCTATATAGTGAAACATTTATACTACAATTATATTAGTAACTTCATATGGTAGAAACATTTTTCTGCTATGGAAAGACAATATTTTTAACCTTTTCTGAGTTGGCTTTCAATAAATACTTGTATAGATTTGCATAGCTAAAGTCATGAAGAGGTCAAACTAATTCAGAATTCTGGGCTGATTTCGCACTAGAGTTGCCTCGATGTTGCACCGCCGTTTGCCCTGATACTCTTGGTCAATTTCACACTGGAAGCCGCGGGACTGCATTTGACCCGCGGCTTCACCCGATTTCCTCCGCAGTTTCGTGATCCTCAAAAACAGGATCAGGAAACTGCACGGGAAATCAGGCGAAGCCGCAAGTCAAAAGGCAGCCCCGCAGCTTCGGGTGTGAAATTGACCAAGAGTATTGGGGCAAACGGCGACGCAACATCGAGGCAGCTCTAGTGCGAAATCAGCCCATGTGTTATAAACTCTCAGAATTTCATTAAATTTTACTTACTAAGTAGTTGTCATTGTTAAACAAATTTTGTACAATAATTGTAAGGTAACAAAACAATTTAAAAATATTCCAAGGGATGCAGCATACAAAGGATTCTGTTACTATATCTGATTGACCTGTTAGTGTGAGGAAAGGGGAGATATTCTATCTGTAAACTTAGACTAGGGAAGAATAGAAAACATTTCTAGCCATTGCATTTTTGTGTAGATAAACTTGCAAACATGTAGGTAGCACCCACTGAAATCTCAGAAGTCAGCAGAGGGTTTTGGGACGTCTATGGTCAAGAGATGCAGTATATGTATCTATGAGCATATTTTCATTCTTTACCTAATTTATTCTACTTAATTTACCTGGGAGCAGTATTTGGACATTTGGTGTACATCAAATTTTTTTAGATAACATTATACTGGACATTTGTTTTTGTTTTTTTTAAGAAAAACACTGACTTTTGTGATGTTATTTCTTCAGTACAGAGAACCATACCGGGGGAAAGAAACTCAGTCAACCAGACCCAATTACTGAACACCTCAAATGAATTAAGAGAGAACAAATGCATAATTTCTGAAATACCCTGAGCTTCAAACTCAGGCAAAGTGTTAGAACAGTATAATGAGCTTCTGTGAGAAAGGTGGACTATAAATGAAGGAAACAAATTAATAATCTGCATTTACAGATTAAGAACACTAAAAACTGTTACCAACATCTGACTTTCATCCAGTATTGCTACTAAAGTTCCAGAGGAAACGCCCCCCCCAGGGGTGTAAAAAAACCCAACTCAGTATATTTCGGGTTTGGATATATTGAACCTGAAACGTATCAGGTTCCCGATATTCATGAATCCCAATATCTCTTCAGTATTTGAATTTGGGAAATATTTGGGAAACCTAATTTTTTTTTGCTCCATTATACCCGAAGAAGAAGAGGAGGAGGAGGAGGACGAGGAGGAGGAGATTGGATTTATACCCTGCCATTCACTCAGAGTCTCAGAACAGCTTACAAACTCCTTTCCCTCCCCCTCCCCACAACAGACACTCTATGAGGTAGGTGGGGCTGAGAGAGCTCTTTCAAGAACTCCTCGTTCAAGGACAGCTCTGACAGAACTATGGCTTGCCCAAAGTCATCCAACAGCTGCAAGTGGAGGAGTGGGGAATCAAACGCAGTTCTCCCAGATTAGAGTCCACGCACTTAACTATTACACCACACTGGCTCTCTGAAGAAGACATGGTCAGTGGTCCCCATAGGGTATAGTGGATAATCAATCTGGGGGTATCTGGTGCTCTGGGCTGTTCTTTTAGGTAGAAGCACCAAATTTTCAGTATAGCTGCTGGTGCCTCTCCTCAAACCCCCCCCCCAAGTCTCAAAAAGATTGGATCAGGGATGAATTATATAGGCCCCCAAAGAAAGTGCCCCTATTGGTTTCATTTGAGGGGAAAAAGGCATTTAAAGAGATTGTGGTCCCTTTAAACGCCTTCTCCAAGCCATACAACTCTGGCTTGGAGAACTCTGAAGGCATTTAAAGGGCTTGCAGTCCTGTTAAACATCTTCCAGGTGAACTTACCAGCCCAGGATCGAGCTGCAAGAGGAGCCAGCTAGCTCCGGCCGAATTGGCATGGATCCTGCCACCCCAGCTGATCTGCAGGAGGGGACTGGGCTGAGGCTGGGTTGCAGTATAGCTGATACGCCCAAACAAAAGCAAAATAATGGCTTTTTTGGGCTCAGCTATATTGGTAGCCAAAGACAGGATAAGGTATTTTTCAGGTATTTTTTCATTTTGGTTTATGTCAAATGCATACCCCTACACCCCACCATTTGGAAACACTGGACTGGTTCCCCACCATCTTCACAAAGAGATTGGGTTGGACTCCACCATTTCATTGCATTGGTGACTCCATGTTTCACAGAGGCAAGGGCCCTTCCAGTGGTGCAAGATGGTCCTACAAAACAGCATGCTGCATCACCCAAAGGATCCTAGTGTTAGAGGAACATGCAGGTGCCAATGAAATGAAATGGCACAGTCTAACTCGCTGTCTCCTCTGCAGGATGTAGCAGGATTTGACAGATTTTATTGGCTGCATTGCAACTAATTTTTTTTAATGAAAAATAAAACACTTGCAGCAGCACTACAAGGAAAGCTGCTGTTATTTTCATCTTACAAGTAGGTAAACATATACCAAGCAAACTCCATTTCCACAAGGATACCTACCAAGGCTTGAATAGGAAAGGGTTAGGAAGTGCCATTTCTCAGGAGAGGTTCAGTCATTTATGTGACATTACTTGATGACTGGTGACTGAATATGTGAACTCAGAAATATTTTGTTTGAAAAATGAATCTCCCTGTTATCAGGGATAGCTCCTTCACACATGCAACTCATCGCTTGTTGTTTCAATAATCTCGTCACTTAGTGATGGGCATACATATGTGATAATCCAGCTCCTAGCTGCTACTCCATCATTGCCTATTTTTCAAGCAGCACACATACATCCCATGTTCAAAGCAGCACACATACATCCCATTGAAAGCCACACATCTTTAGACTGAGCTTCTTAGTTATACAGTTTGATATTTAATAGCTTGATATAAATAACTAACCTGAGGGTACAGCAGCAGTGCTGTAAGGTACAGAACTAAACATGTCTGCACCAGAAGGAAGTGACTGGGATGAAGATGGGATAAAGGCATCACCTGGAGTTGCAGGAGTCTGCAAAACAAGGCACAGTTAGAATGGTATCCATAGACCAGTGCTATCTCAGAAGCTGCTTTTGCTGCCAGTGAGATCTTTCCTCACTGAAGGAGAGGATGAATGAAAGTGTGTATGGGTGGGGAGAACAAGACATGCAGATGTGAGAGCAGTGGGATAAAACGGCAGCAGCTAGAAACAGGATGAAAAACTGGATAAGAAAATCTCAGAAGCTTTCTAAATATATTAAATAAATTGAAAGCATTCTTTCCAGCTCCTAAGACACATATGTATTCCTACAGCACCTGTTTCTTTATACTAATAAAGGTCTAAGCTTGTGAGATTTTAATAGCTTCATAGAGGATTGGTGTAAGAATTTTGTGCTAGAAAAGCAGTAAAGTAATGAGCAATTTTACACAGAGAAAAAAATTGAACTGGGTAAAATGATTGCAGTCTCTTCCATGAAATCCTTTCCAGTTCAGTATGGGGCACCATTCCTCATGCATATCTGAATTACTGCACCACTACAATAAGCCCACTGAAAGTGGCAAATCAGAAGACAGGATATTTCTCGAAAGTACTTACAGGGGGAGAGGTTACATCAGGAGGAGTGGACATGTCACCAAACAGCTCTAGTTGGGTAACAGCCTGTAAAAGAAATTCAAAAGCATCAGACTTCCCCCCACACTTCACTATCATCTGAGCCACGCAGAAGATGGTCTTGTAGTGATAAGCAAAGTAATCTAGCAGAATAATTATTAATTCAGTAGCATATTATTTGGGTTGTCCTTGCTGCCTTTGAGCTGATAATCTGTGAGGAAAACCTGCATGAAAAGCTTACCATTCCCCTAGGTTCAAGATAACAGTTTAACAGCTGGCAACACCACTGAAGGAAAAAGGAAAATTCTAACTTATCATAAATTCCCATTCTTCCAAGTATCCAGAGGGCAGTTTCCCCCCTGGATCAGTGCCAGCACATGGTCAGAAGCAAATGTCCATCTTCTAACATTTCCAGCAGGAGGAGCTCCTCAATAAGACTGAAACTAGAGGTGGGGGGGGGCTAATCCAGTCTACTTCAGCCATCAACATGGATATGTTACTGAAGGTCAACTTTCTCACTTAGCTTAAAGGGAAAAAATTATGAACAGTGGAAACAAATGAGGGAAGTGCCTGTGAGATGGTTCCTACTTCTCCTGTGAGTAAAGACCACACAAAACATGCACTACAAGGTGGGTAGTCTGCCCTCTGAATAAGTATTTATAGATCAAATTTTAGATAGTCTTCAGGGTACATTTGTGGCATAAGGAAACTAGGATTACCTGCAGAACCCTCTGTCCAAATGCTTTATCAGATGTGAACATGACGTTATAATGACCAATATACCTGGATGGTGCTCTTACATATCTGCTGTCAAAAAGAACCTTCCCAAAAGACTGCTACTTTCTCCCTTGCCAAGTGAAATGCAACCCCATTAAATGGAATATTTCCCAGCGTGCTGTAGAACATTCCCCACTGTTTCCATGGACTTTACCAGTCACCTAGATGGAGATGCTCTGGGTAGCTGTTTTCCTCAAGTAGGATGGTTTAAAATCTAACCTCAAAAGCTCTTACAACAATCTCTGGTTTGCTAGCTGCCACAGATCTGGCTGTGGGTGCAGTAGGGCAGTAACCTTCAGATGTGTCATGGGACTCCACCCGATGGACTGTTAGCCCCTATACAGTTGCAGTTTTTATTCTGTTTTTTGGAAGGACCTGCTGCTTGTGTGCATACAGAGAGAGAGCAGGGGCTCCATGATTCACACCCCTCTTTCCAAACACACTGAGAGAAACAGCACGATGGCAAGGCAAGGTCACTTTGCAAGGGATGCCCTTTTTTAGCACAGGTAGGTTCTAAGACTGGGATCTCTTCTTGTCACTTCCTGACAGTGCTTGCTGTTCAGTGAGGCTAGTGCTGCCATCCAAGGTTAAAGGTAGGTATGGAGCCTAGAAAGGTTGAAAACCACTGCACTATGGAACCTTGGCACCAACAGTCACCAATGACAGGCCTACTAGACATATTAGCTGTGTATGAGAAGACAATGATAGTAACAGATAGTAACTTCACTGGACATCTGTTGGCTTGTAAAGGTATCTAGCACTGGACAGTCAATCAATTTACATTGTCTGTCAGCTAGGGTTGCCAGTTCCTGTCCACCTGCCACTGGGGGACTTTGGGGGACAGCCCTAGAGGGGGTGGGGACCTGTGTTCCCTCTAAGCTGGGTTAGTGTGAGCTAGCTCACAGTTTTTTAGCCTCCAGCTCACAGATTTTTGTATTAGCTCAGGAAGGAGGGCTCCAAAGCAAACTAATTTATGCAGTAGCCCAATCGCTCGCTCACAACTTTAATGCCAGTAGCTCACAAAGTAGAATTGTTGCTCACAAGACTCCACAGCTTAGAGGGAGTATTGGTAGCAACATCCCCAATATGATGACATCACACAGAAGTGACATAATCACGTTAGAGAGTCAGCCTGAACTGCAAGTGGCAAATTTGCCACTTGGAAGTCAGGTGCCAGTGCCCCCCGCTTGTAAAAAAAATTAAAGGGTACCCTTAAAAGCTTTTTACAAGCACGGCTGCCAGCACCTGAACTGCAACAGGAATTGCCACTTGAAGTTTAAGTGCACATGGCCCCCGCTTGTAAAAAGCATTTAAAGGGACACTTTAAATGCTTTTTATAAGTGCAGCCACCAGTGACTGAACTCCAAGCGGTAAATCCATTGCTTGCAGTTCAGACACACAAAGCCAAGTGGGGACCACCGGCGCCTGAAATCCAGGCAGCAAATTTGCCACTTGCAGTTTAGGCGCATGGCCAGTGGCTGACTCCTACCTCCTCTCCTGCAAGTTTTAAAGCAGGGGTGTCAAACTTAAAGCCCGCAGGCTGGAAGTGGCCCACCCATGGCTTTAATCAGGCCCATGTCTCTTTTCTTTCCCCCTCCTACCCCTCCTGTCCTCCCCCTTTGAAGTGGGAGGATGCCAAAGTTCCCAGCTCCTTCCCTATTGTCTTTGCCTGCTTTGGCAGGAAGCTCTTCTGGGCTTGCAAAGTTACAAAGAAAATACAGAATGGATTTTTCCATTATGGTCTATAAACTACTCTGGGACTGTCTCTAGCAATAGAAACAGTGCTCTGGGACTGGAATGACAGCTCCCAGAGTAGAATGATGGTCCCTAGCAATAGAATCTGTGTTCTGGGACTGAAATGACAGAGTGCAGAGTGGAATGACAGCCCCTGGGAATAGCAGCAGCATTCTGGGAATGGAATTCCACTCTGTGGGCCCTCATTCCAATCGCAGTATGCTTCTGCTACTCGCAGGGACTGTCATTTCACTCTGGGGGCTGTCATTCCAGTCCCAGAGTAGTCTGTCTCAGCCCAGAGACCATAATGGGAAATCCATTCCACATTTTCTTTGCAACTTTGTCTATCCTGGCAATGTATTTCAGTGGGGTGGTGCTCCAGTAGTTTTACTTTCCAGTGTTTGTATAGCTGAAGCTGCTGCTTGCTGGAGTTGTCTCCTTGCAAATACAGGGTTGATGTTTTAAGCCAGCTTGTCTCTGCTGAATGGACCTGAGAATGGGTGCCTGAGTGACTACTCTAACCTGGGAACCCACAGCCAAAGGGGGACATTACACTGGAGAGCCACTGCCACTCTGAGTAGACCGGGGGGTGGGGGGAGCTTTCAATCCCTGTCATTTCATGTTTTCCTAGGCTGAGAGCATTCTATATTTTTAGTTTTAGCTTCTGCTGTGATCCTTGTGCTTTTTCTTGATATTTTAATTAAAAATTGCATTGCCAAATCCAACTATCCCCCCACCTTTCCATTTTCGGTAGACATCTTTTAAGGGGGGGGAGGTTTGGGAGGTGTCAGTTATCAAAGACTGTTAAGTAAAATATGGCAAGTGTTACTGTTTTAAGCATGTTTGTATTTTAAGTCTATGTGTAGCTTTGGCTCAGATATTTCATCGTGCACACCTTCTACTGACACCCTTGTTTTAAAGGGTCCTCCAGCTAATCAGTGTGCCATGTGCTCTAGCTGATCAGCTGGAGGGCCCTTTAAATCTTGCAGGAGGGGAGGGAGAGGGGTGGCTGCTGGTGGCCATTCATGGGGTGAGGCTTTGAGGTGGGTCTTCCCCCACTGGCCAGCCAGCCAGTGGTGGACAGGAGCCCTTGAAATTGGGGGATCCTCCACCTCTGCCTGGGGACTGGCATCCCTACTGTCAGCTGAGCCTCATTCTAGATTTTTTATTACAAAAAATTGTGTCCTGACTTTCCCCGTGACTGATGGAAATTTACAAACTCATATTTAAATATATATAATAACTCCTCCCATCAAATAACCTCTTTCCCCTAAAAAATGCCTACAGCCTATTCTCAATTAAAAGCTCTGACAAATACAGTATACTTGTAGTGCTTAATAGACATCTCCAGAGATGGCATATCCCAGCTGTTCAGGGAGTCCATTCCACAAGCTGGGAGATACGATAGGAAAAAGGTCTTTCACTAATGCCAGGAGGGCACCCTAAGTAGGAGAACACCTAGCAGGTGGCAGTCTGAAGACCACAGTGATGCATGGTCCTAACCACCACTTTGAATTGAACTCAGAAATAAGCTGGAAGCCAATGTAGCTTTTTAAAAACAGGCAAGATACATTCCTGTCAGCTGGATGCATTCTGAACCAGCTATAGTAGGGGTGTCAAACTCATTTGTTATGAGGGTCAGATATAACATAAATGAGACCTTGTTGGGCTGGGTCATGTGTGTCATAAAATGTAATGCCAGGTAGAGGAGATATAAACTTTATAAAGGACACGGACACAAAGATTTTTTTTAACAAAATAAAAACATGCTTAAAACATTAGCACTCTTACAATATTTTGTTTATTTAACAGTGTCTGATAACTGACACTTCTTGCTCTGAATTATTGCATCAAAATGTCTGTACTGTTGCAATCTTGGGTATGCTGTTCAAGTATGTATCTGTAAGCTGCAAACCTACTTTTGATTTATTGAAATTCACTACAGAAATCTCATGCTCAGAGTTCTTAGCCTAGGGGCCAGGGTAAAACATGAAATGGCTGGACATTGTGAGCTTATTGACATAAATTGCTTCATGTGCTGGTCAAGAAAATGAGAAGGCACCCTGACACAGACTGAGGGCTATGTGTTTGTCTACAAAATGATAGTCTTCCTGAGTGGTCAGTATCAGCCTACTATCTGGGAAGTCTAAGTTCAAAATCCCTAAAGGAAATGTGCTGGGTGAACTTGGCCTGGACACACACTCTCAGCCTAATCCACCTCACTGCCTTGTTATTATTCCTAATCTAAATAATTCACATTGCTTTTCTACTGAGCAAGATTGGATCATGAGGGCATAAATACAGTGAAAAGGGGAAGGGAACCCAGTTGTACCCAGGAGAGCCACAGCATAACAAGCCCAACAAAACACACACACTGTAGCAAGGCACACTAAAGCTCATACCTTGGATAAAACTTTGTTCATATTAAAGGTGCTTTGTATTTTTCCCATGTGACTGAGGCAGCCAAGCAAAGCAAGCTCTGCCTCCTTCCGTCCCTCCTTTCAGGGAAGAGCCTCAGCCAATGGAAGGGAAGAAAG